CCAAGAGGCTGCAGGGTGGCCTACTAGGCCCAAAACTGGGTACAAAGGGGGGGGGGTTGCTGCCCCCGCAGGCATTTTTGCTCCCAGAGGGTGCAGGAGGCTGAGTGCTGTCTGTCACACCCCTCTGGCCACTCCCACCCGGCCGGTCATTAGGGCAGTTGTTAAATTATTTGAATCCCATCACTGATGGCGAGGATGATTTCATTACCCAAACTAGCTAACCGCATTGGGATGTATATATACAAGAGAAGAAAGCCCTTCGCCTCCTTGCATTGACGATGTTCCCTAGTAGGGTAATGAAATGTCCGCAAGAAAACGACCCAGTTCAGGACCCCCCGACTCAGCCTTTTTAATGCCCTGTGGTGCTTTCGACTTTCTCAGGGAATCCTGTGGCTCTCTCTCGGCAGGGATCTGAAGGCTCCAGGAATTGCCTTTGGCTCAGCCGAATAGGACAATCCTCTCTGGATTGCCCAGGCTGGCCCAGTGGGCTACCACCGCTGGAGACCCCTCAGGGCTGGCTTCTCTGCTCATCATTAAAAATCTACAAATCCACCCTCTTTCGCTGGCAGCTTAACCTAGCAAGAGCTCTGAGCCTGCTCTCTATTCTCCTCTTGGCAGAGGAGATGTCCACCTTTACAGCAAACTGACCCGTCAGGTCCCACTTCAACCTGCAGAGGGGATTGTCCCAATAAAATGGAATATTTGTAGCTCGGGGTTGAACGGTGGGGTCCTTGGTCCTCTCTGAGCTTGCAGGCGTCCCAGGACCCAACGAGGTAACCTCATCAGAGATAAAAGGGAGGAGGAGGAAAGGGATCAAGACTGTGGGGCGCTTGGTGTTCTCTGTGCTTGGATGTTTCCTTTCAGATGTTTCATGACCCAACTAGGTAACCTCATCAGCGGTAGGAGGAAGTGGGCTTTGCTCTCTGTTTATCTACCAGCAGCTTGCTTATAGACAGCAAACCCCACTCCCTTCTAGGAATCTAGGGTGCTTTGGCCACTCACCCCCAGGCTGTTCCATTGACGTTGTTTGACCCCATTGAAGACGTTTCTCGACCCAGCTAGGTAACAGCATCGGTTCCACCACAAAACCGCGGTAGACTAAAGCGCGCTCGATGAAAGCGCGTCCGTGACGTCATCACAGCGCGACG